CTATTTTCAGTTGCTGGTGATCTACATCCCGTTTGTATGTATGGTTGAAATTGTTAGTTGGAGCACGATGAGCGAAGCGAAGAGTGCTCTAACTACCAATTTCAACCATTAGAGACCAAAGTCCGAGTGCTTTAACATATTTAATGCATGGCATATACAAATCAAGAATCAATCTTTCATTAGAATCATATATTTACGGATAGATGTTGTTGATTCCTATGACAGCTGAATACGTATTAGGAATAGAGGCATTTTGGGGCTCATTGAACATTTAACAGAGCCCTAAATGAGAACTATAAAAATGAGCAGCAACAAATGCCCGTGCATTTAATGCGGACTCTATCATATTTTATACGGATTCAGTGGCTTGTGGACCAACAATTTGGCCCTTTAACGAGAACCATAAAAACGCAAAGCACGATGTGCACATGCTGTTCCCGCCAGCATTCACATGTGTTCCGGTGAAGTCATGTCGGATACCCAGTCGGAAGAACTAATTCCCTAATCCCGAAGCGTTTTCGCTTCACAAAATGAGTTTAATTCAAGTGACAATGAACTGATTAGTAGTAGCTATGACGCAATGGAACTGTCGCAGAACAAGGTAAATCAGTTCCCACATTACAGTGATATTAGCGGTGAGGAAGTGTCTTCACATTTGATAAATGTTGATACAACTGACTATGTCAATGCTTCGTCAAGAACGTCGAACAATTCTGTACCAAGGGAACGATATACTACTCCTAAGATGGACGACGAAATAGCCAGTTTGTCTGAAAGTACACTTCCAGAACGAACGAAGAGCTCGTTACGCTGGGCGTGTAATTTATTTGAAACTTGGAGGTTGAGCAAACCGAAATATTAGTAAAGGAAATACACATGGACAGAGATTAAACGTTATTAACCTTAAACTGGAAGAGCTCAATGACGATAAGCTGAACTACTGTCTGTCAATGGTTTGTGTCGGAAGTTCGCAAAGGAGATGGAAGCGAGTACCCAGCAAAGACATTGAGGCCCTTGTCTTGTTCATTCAAATGCATTTGGGCAATTCAGGCAGACCTGTGAAACTGTTATCGGACAAGATATTTATTGAACTTCGTAATACGTTGGACAGTGTCATGAAAATGGAATCCCGTAAAGGCATTGGTATGCGTACAAGACAAGCAAACGTCATCACTTTTGAACAAGAACGTTGGTGGATACCATGGTCTAACTTTTTGGTTTAAATTTCGCACTAAGGAGCGGAGACGAACATCGTCATTTAACTGTTGATCAGCTCGTGATTGGTGAGAATGAGCATGGGGGGAATACTTGAGATATTCCGAAAAAGTTAGTAAATGCTTTCAGAGAGGGCTAAAGGACACTAACGTCGAGCCGACAATACATGTCTCTTCGACCAAAGAACGCTCCAAATGATTTGTATTTACGTCCTCTTGTGAAACCAAGAGATGATCAGTGGTTTAGTGTTCAACCAATAGGGAAAAGTACACTCAAACAGACCATTGGGAGGAATTGCAGAAGTGCAGGATTTCAAAGTAAATTGTCTAGGTACATATTTACGATCATTCACGACCGTTGCATGTGCAGTGTTTCGTGGTAAAACGCGCTAACATTATGAACGATGGGAGGCGGTAGACATCTTGCCTGTAGTAGAAGCCCGACTACCGACATCAGTCACGATATACATTTTGGTTTTTGGATAATACACGTATGTGGTTCATAATTCTTAAAATGCAATAGTTTCACAAGCCACGTGGTTTTCCTGGTATTTGTAAAGTAGCAGCTAAGAAGAATATATTTTCAGTTCGAATGCACTAAGCTATAACAATGTTTCTTTGCAGGATTCTACAGAAAACATTCCATCCGTGCGACGTGCGCCACGAGATTGTATCACTCAGGAGTTGACAGCAGCTAGTTGCCAAGACAACCGGCCACAGGAGCAATGCAGTGAGGAAATATAAACGGAGCAGCACTGAACAGGAAGCAGCTGTCAGTGACGGCATTCAAGGAAAGAGATTGAAAGTGGAACCAAAGGCCGATGCTAGTTCTGTGACTAGTGTCAGTGGAACAACTGCTGCGAATGATCATGTTCACATTTCACTGAATGTTGTCGGGAATAATTGATTTCGGGTTTATTCTGTAATCCCTGAATAAAGTGTATGAAAAGGCATGTTTTGTTTTTTTTAAAGTAGTTCCGTCCGTTTTTTGATTAACATTTTCGTTAGCTAAAGCATGGACACAAACAAAGACGCTATGCTTTAAATTGTATTGTTCTCTATAGTGATATATTTTCATTAGAACATACCAGAGTTAAGTTAAAACAGGTTTACTGCCCATTGACGACAGGTTTTTTAATGTTCTAAGTTTATTCACTTTATGTATGAATTGTTCTCATCACGATAAGACTGAAGTATTGCCGATGTGACGTTATAACGAAATCCCTGAGCTCTCTCTATACGATTCTGATTCTGTAGTTCATGAGATGTTCACATATGTTAATTTTCTATGCGTCCCTCATTCGCTTACTTTATCAATAATCGCATTTCAATTATTAATGTTGTAAACAAGTGTCCGCAAATTATGTGATATCAGTGTCATTCTCCTTAATCGTTCAATCACAATTTATAAATCTAATTTGTGTGATATATACACTGACAGTGTTAAAAGTGAAATCAGTCTATCCGTGGTAAACATTCAGATGTTTTCAGCATCCCTTCTGAGACCAGTTTGAGGAAGATGTGAAGCGTTTCGTTTCGTGGACATACCTACATAATTACTATCTTATTGTATAGTCTTGGTCTACATGTTAATCTTTTGTTATTTATCGTGTTTATGTATGCGAGTTTATGTAAGCCGTAAACATCAGACATTAGAGACATACAACTTGGGCAATGTTTGTGTCGCTTTTCTTCTTGCTCATGAGGCTGAACCGTAGTTATTACCACTGCTAAAGTAGTCCCGGTTTGAAGTGCAGAGCTATTTATCTCAAATATTCAGCAGTTAACAGAATGTCCAGGTGAGGCTCGATGGGGTACGCTCGTGGTTAAAGCGATAGTCACGTCGAAGGCCGGTGTTCGATTCCACATTCCACAAACATCAGAAAAAGGTTCAAATGACTAGTTTGAGTTCAGGGTAAAATGCTAAATCATTTCAAAACAACACAATATAAAATCGGGCTATAGATCGCCAGCTAGGGACGAAACAAAATAATAATACACACAAAAGGTTTGTTGACAAATATCGAAAGGGTACTAAGTTTTCCTCCCGTGGGAAAAATTCGTTTGAAAGAAAAGCATTCCGAACCTATTTTGACAGTTATGAAATTATATTATGAGGTGACTTTCATGAGCAGAGGAATCATATTCTAAAGTTAAGAACATGTAAAAGAATGGTTTCCTGAAATTGATTGAATTTTTGATAGCCAAAGACATTCGACGACGTTGCTTGCAGACCTCGACATCTGTTTTTTTTTCTTATTGTTTACACATTTCTTTTTTTGCAGTGTTCTGATAATTCCTTAGAAAACAATATAAAAATAAACTTGTGGAACATCTGGAAATTACTGCACTACAGTTGTACAAATAGATATGCTTTTGTAAGTTAAAAAGGTGAAAACTCTGACGAGTATCCTGTTAAGCAAGGTGTTATGTCGTCCTGGTTCTTCTTAATATTTATCAATGATTTGATTTCTTCCCTGAGACAAGCTAGTTATGGCCTAAGTGTTTATGGTCTGAGTATTCCGACTATATTGCTTGCTGACGACACAACATTTGTTAGTACTTCACTAAAATGACTTCAAATGCCTCTCGATACTGTACATGCCTATGTCATTAAACGGCGCTTAACTTACAATACTGCAAAAAGTAATAAAAGTAAAAAGTAAGCTACACTTTTGACAATGAAAATATTTCATAAGCAAATGCAACTACTTATGGCAGAATACTTCTTACCTCTAATCAAACATGTAAATCTAGAATTGAAAAGTGTTGGCAGAGCGCAACATTAATGGAAATGAATTATTGTTTAAGTCAGTTTGTTTGCTAGAAAACACACAGCGGTACTTTTTCCGCACCGTAAAGGGACTATATAAGATATCTCAATCTGAATCCACTATTGCAAACTTACGATTGTTGACCGTGCTTGGTTACATTGATAAAAGTTAACTCCAGTTCTTTGGCTCTTTGTGCAACTATTGCTGTGACAGTCTCATATTCATAGTCAAGGTTAATACGCCCAGAAAATCAACTATTTGGTGAGATCTTCAGTCTGTCTTGAGCAAACACAATCTTAGAAACTACTTCTGTACTTAGTTTTACAGTGGTTAATTCATGTAAATGAATGTGAAAAACAAATGTGGCGTAACAAAGTATCACTCAATGCAGTACTGTCTCATGAGAGTTCATACATCACTGACATATCACATACTTTTGAACTTAGCATGTTTATATCCTGAACACAGAGCAGACTTGCAATTATGCTTGAACATTTCATCACGAAATAAAGTCTCAAAAGAATGTCTGCTTTGTACAAACACGCTTATGAATATGCTAACCATATGTACTACACTATGAAAAGTTATTACCTTTCCGAAATAACATTTTCTCATTCTTGATTGATCTACTTGATGCTGAAACTTACGTAAAGTTTGAAATGTTGGAAACTTTGCAAAATATGTCTATCATATCTTGGGTGTGTATTTTAATGCAGACGCTGCGTGTACAAGTGACGCCATCACTTTGTGAATTTTTTATTATATTTCACTACATATCAAATGTCGACTATGAATGACATTGTCATGTACGTAACTACAAATATGTATTATGTTAGATTGAAGGTATGTATACATAATCTTCGGTTTCATTTCTGGAGGAAATAACAATCTCTGTCTCATTCTCTCTCACTCTCTCTCACACACTCTCTCTCTCATTCATCATTCATAAGCAAATGATGGAAATATCTTTAGGTTTTTAATATTCCTTAAACAATGTAAAGCATTGCCATACCTTCTTGGCAGCAGGTGCTTGTCCATCCCTGTTTGCACCTACACAGACTGGTGTCTTCATCAAACGTCCCTCCATTGAAGCAGAACTTGTTGCACGATCTGTTGGTATCGGGTACATCGCCAACGGACTTGCTCTGGCATCGTTCCTGGCATGCTTCCGTGGACTCGTTGTCATGACAACAACGTGTTCGGTTCCTGGTTTGGTACCCTCCACCACAAGATCTACTGCATCCTCCCCACTCTCCCACACTCCAGTCACAGTCCGCCACACATGTTCCACGTGCAGAGTCGATACCAAGTGTAGAAGCAATGAATATCAACCAGAATGTTGGCATAATGTCTTAATTGTCTTAATACAGTAGTGTATAACCAACCAGAGTTACCAGCATCTATATGACGTCCATGTGTCCATAGATAGGTGGTCACTGTTTGCTGTCACATACGTGTCTGTCTTGGGCAACCAGCAGTGCATGGTATCATTGTGCGTGGGCTTATCGTAGAGCAGAAACAGCGAATAGCAAAATAGTATGGAATCCTAGAAGGGACATTGACGCGCTATCCGCATTGTCGCCCCTACAAAAACAAGCAAAATGTGTCAAAATTAACCAAATCGCGATATGTTGCATTTTCCCCACGTCGCTTTGTTGCACTTTGAATAATATTGTTAATTCTGCAAAAGGGCGACAATGCGACAACGTGACAGTTTTCGATATATCACGTGTAGTACGTTAATTAATCTACTCATGCACATAAATAGCTATACTCCTTTTCAAACTCCAGAGGTCGTTTGTTACCTAGTTCTGAAACCAAAGTAGGAATGCAATAGCGGTAGCATTTTGGAAATTAATACATATATTTCATGGATGCTTTGGAAACTCACGGATCCGCGCATCTTCGCGAAGTCCCGCCCTCCTTGGATACTGTTGCGAGGAACCCCGCGCTTTCTAACAAAATGGCCACCGCCAAGCAAAGCAATTCTCTCGCATGCATTCCTGAAAACTTTTCTGTGTCCTTTTTACCGATTGCTGATCAAATATCAACAAAGAGCATGGAAAAGTGACTTAATCATTACCAGCAAGGCTACATTCATGAGGTGACACTTCAGTTCCCGACCGTATAAGCCAAGTGTTGGCCAACACTCAGGAAAAACAACCCGCCTCATCGACTGCCACTTGACCTTGATGTCGACTGAATCAAATATGCTTATTGCTCTTGCAAAGCTGGGTAAGTTGGTATTTTAGGAGATGGTTTTTATACCTGTTACGAAAGTGTGTGCGTACGATTTTAATATACTACCCATCAAAAGTTTAGACTCACTGAAAGCACTCACTATATGTTATGTATATGTATGTGGTTACATCGAAGATGAATTTCTCCACCAACTTGGGGGAACCAACTGAAAACCTGATGCAGATGAATTGCACAAGGATGATGCTTCAAATTGCGAAAGGCATGAGCAAATGTCGTGCATGTGAACAGATTCGTTTTGGTGTAAAGTTTTGTTAAGAATTCGCCAATTTTCACAGATTTTAATCATTTACTGAACTCATGACAGTAATCTTTTCAATGTTACGAATATGTTTTACAATACACCAGTTCATAACTAAACAGTACCTTTAAACAGTATGGAATATTTTGCAAAAAGCTAGTTTAGAACAGTGGACAAGTAAGTGGCTACATTTACACTAGTGAGTCTAAACTTTTGATGGGTAGTATATATTGTGATGCATATTGCAGCCAACCTTGAAAGGGTCTAGAATGATGAGGCCAGACTTGTCAATGTCAAAATACCGTTTGGGTTTAATTATTGTGAGAGGCCCTATATTCAATGTTGTTTATGAAGTTATTTGTAATAATAAAATTGTTTAAGTGAATTAATGCAAATATACCAAAATGTATTGGTCATACATTAGAGGGGTGATGATGATTTTTTATTTTTATTTGTTGATGTGTGTGTGTGACACCCCATTTTGTTCTGGGGAGGTAGAGGGGTCATAAATATTGTGCACATGTACGGGGAGGGGTGTGGGTGGTTTCAAGCAATTTTGCACATAAAATATTCAATTGTATGCTTCAAAATTATGGGAGAAGGGGGGTGAGGGTGCAGGGGTTCACTAACTTTGTACATAAATTTTAGGGGGCGGGGTGTCATTCACATTGTACAATTGTACATGCTTCTCTATAAAAATCATCATCACCCCCTGGACATAAATTATGAACGGTCCCTTAGAACATTTGTATGATCAAGGAATTATCTATTTATTAGATAAGCCAGTCTATTGAGGATCAACTAAACAAATTAAACTAAAACATTTACTCATAATCTGCTAAATAAATTTGGTAATCTTTGCTTTTTCTCTTTCAGATTAAGTGGGAAGTGTTCCCATATACTAGGTCTTATCAAGACGTTGCAGGGATTCAAGCTCCCAAACTTCAAATAAATTCCATCTGATTTGAGTTCCATATCCATGCCACAACAATGGAACAAGCCAAGGGGAGACAAAATCTTGCCAGTGCCTATCAGCCAGGATGTGGTTGCTAGACCAACTGAGCAACGCAAACGAAAGCCGATTCAATGCCACACGGACATGAATTACAAGTTTAGTTTTATTCTTATTCATCAGACATTTTGCTGCAATTGATTATTCAATTGAAATTGTCATCAAGATATCCTTGAAACACTTGTACATTTTTGCTTGAGTACAAGTTATTAATGATAACTGCCCTTATGTAGCCTAAATACAGAATAAAGAAATTCATTATTCATGATAGAAAATCTGCATTTTTAATTATAAGTGTAATACACATTACAAAGACAAGATGAAGTTTTTGTATATCAACCGAATGTATATCTGTGTATTTCAGGCTACAAAGGGTTGACATGGCAAGTCTTCAAACTCTACAGAGCACACCACTGCTGAATAGAACAGCACACAATGATTTGCCTTTGGAGAAAACTCCTTTGGAAGTTGTGCCAATTGGATCTGCACTATCGTATCAGGTATATATCCATATACAGTGGAAACTGCCTAAGTAAAGACCGCTTAACTAAACAGACCTGATAAGTAAACACTTTTCTTTGGTCCCGGCAAATTTCTTCATTAATTATCACTATTAGAGTCCGGTTAACTAAACTCGGATAAGTAAACAATACCGCTTAACTAAAAGTCTCTCACGGTCCCTGGAAGTAAATTACTTAACATAAGAGACTGGATAACTAAATTAGCGATCACCACATAATCCGACATGAGGGGCAGTCGTGTCAGTCTCCAGTCAAACAAACATCCTACTTACAGCTCGCTGGCGTCATGCAGTTGACAATACGCTGACAACTGGAGGCCAGCCCTGATAAGTTGTTCATTGTTACATATGCATACATATACATGCATATGGTTGTCATTTGCAGGTTTTTATAAGTTTGGATAAGTAAAATACCTGATAAGTAAACAATTTTGGCGAGTCCCTTGAAATTTTACTTATCAGGTTTCCACTGTATATATGTCCAAGAGGTGCAACTAATTTACAAACATTTCAGAACAGTTTGAAATTTTGTTTTATTAAGAGTTGCTGTATACAGTAGTAGCTTGCCCTCATTGAACAACTTAAATATGCACCATTCTTTAATTTCATGCACCATTACTTAACAAAAAACATCCTGAAATAATGCCAGGTGGCAACAAACAGACCAAATCTTGTTTATCCTGGAGAATAGAGATGTTGCAACACAATTTGACTGTTTCACCTTGTGAATAAGTCTCTCAATGTGAACTCTGTGCCTTGCCACTTTTTCTGTACATGAATTTTCCCCCATGTTGAATTGTTTTCCTGCCTTTCCTTTTGGATGTATATTCAGTTTCAAACCTAGTTTTTCAACTTCATTCTTGATAGAAAAACCTTTGTCGACCATGATGCCATCAGCTTCATTAATGTGTCCAATTTCTTCCATCGACTTAATGGCATCATAAAACCCAGACTGTTCAGTGATTGCTTTATAAGATATTGAACCAGTAACTAGTTCTGAAACAAACATTAAGCTTCCATTTAGATCACATCCAATCAAACCCTTAACAGTAGAAGAGGACTTGTAATCACTGTAGACTTGACTTTGCAATCTTACGGCACATTGGGTCTGTGTTTTGACTTCTGTCCCATCAATGATAATTAATGTTGTTGGATAGTCTCTGTGATATTTGTAAGGCATACATTGTATTTTATCATCCCCGTGTGGCCATATTGGAATCTGCCCCAGCTTGAAATATGAAAGATCAAGCCGTGTGTTGAAAATAATACCTGCTGACTGAGGACTTCTGCGAACTGCAATGTCTTTAAGACCAAACCCATGGTTTAATCGACAGGTAGTAAACAATAATGCATCCTGAGGTTTATGTCTCTTGATGTCTTTTCTCCCTGATGAATAATCAATGTCCTCTCCTTGGGGTAGTAGAAATGATGGTAATGTGAGATAGTAATCAGAAATGATGTGAGAAATCTCACGTATGTAACACCTGTATAGTGTTTGAATAAGATTTCTATTTCTTTTACCACTAGTGATCACAACATCTATGGAAAATGATGCTGATTGTTGAAGCTCTCTCTGTAATTCCTCAATTGTCTTCTCTTGTGATGCTACTTTGATGTTCAACTCTCTTATTGACTTGTCTTGTAATTGTTCCTCCAAATCATGTTTTTTTCTGCTGCCAGAGGTAGTATGTCCATTGCTGATATCCCTGAAATGACAAAATATTTGAAATTATTTTTTTTATTAACTCAGATGAAACATATCAAGAATCCAACACCAACTACATACAAATGTGGGAGCACCAGTGTTATCTTGCCACCACCAGTGACGCTTCCCCAGGAATTTGCTCATCTAAATGATGAAGATACAATCTGTAAGGATCCCCAAATCTCTTGAAATGAAACGACAGAGTCAGTCAAATGAACCCTGGTTTGATGAACGTAGGAAACGTGTAACTGCATCAAGTTTTTGAAAGGTTTTGTCAAAAACAGGACCAAATCATTGCTTCCAGAACTCCATTTTCACTAAAAGAAATATTAAAGCACAACAACTAGAATATATGAAGAAACATGAAAAAGATGCTAAGGCTAGGTACCATCAGAAATATCCAGACAGACATTTTCATTAATGCGGGTTTGTTGTGAACAATTTGTTTTCATTTTTGGGAGGAACACCTGATGGCAAGATTTGTGACAATGGTGAAAGTGGGATTGTTGTCATCAAATGTTCCTACTCAGCACGCAACATGGCCATTGGCAATGCGTGTGAATTTTTAGACCTTGAAAGGTAAAATGGTGTAATTTCTTTGAAAAGATCTCACCATCACTACGCACAAGTACACGGTCAGTTGATGGTTACTGGGTGCAGTTTTTGTGAATTTATTGTGTTCAGTTAACTGGACATGCATGTGGAGAGAATAACGCC